AAATTATTGAAAAATGTCTNTGAAATGTGGTTTCCTATTATTTGGATCCCTTATAAAATTTTGAAAATTCCCTTTTATTTTTCCTATAATAATAAAGTTATAAATATTTAAAATGCCTATCAAATACCTCTTTTTATAAATAATTTACAAAAATATTAAATGTGCCTATCAAATACCTCTTGTTATAAATAATTTACAAAAATAATTAAATGTGCCTATCAAATACCTCTTGTTATAAATAATTTACAAAAATATTAAATATGCCTATCAAATACCTCTTGTTATAAATAATTTACAAAAATATTAAATATGCCTATCAAATACCTCTTGTTATAAATAATTTACAAAAATATTAAATGTGCCTATCAAATACCTCTTCTTATATATAATTTACAAAAATATTAAATGTGCCTATCAAATACCTCTTCTTATATATAATTAACAAAAATAATTAAATGTGCCTATCAAATACCTCTTGTTATAAATAATTTACAAATTAAGTGCCTATCAAATACCTCTTCTTATATATAATTTACAAATTAAGTGCCTATCAAATACCTCTTCTTATATATAATTTACAAAAATATTAAATATGCCTATCAAATACCTCTTCTTATATATAATTTACAAATTAAGTGCCTATCAAATACCTCCTAAATAAAGTTCCTAAGTTTTAATATCATAAAAGGGAATTTTCATTTTTTTTTTTTATCAAGAAACCAGTTTTAATCTGGAAATTTCATTTAATGCAGTCCCTTTAGCCGTCCAAAAAGGGACCCAAGCCGGTTCCAATGATCATTACCACAGCCAGGTGAAACACCTTTTGGTGGTTCCCCACCAAGAGTTGTCCACAACTGGTTGTGGGTAAATGACACTCTTGATGGTTCCCCACCAAGAGGTGTCCACAACTGGCTGTGGGTAGATGATTTCAGAGATGGACTGCTGCCACCATCCAACGTCCTCCACTGGTGCTGGGCAGAAGTAGTTGTATGCTGAAAAAGAAAACATTTTGTTATTTGAAAAGAATGAAAGGAGACAGCCATTCTGCTACCAGCTGGTCCAAAGCTCTTGGCTCTGATCTTTCCCAGATTATCCATACCCATTTACAACTGGTTTGACTGGAATGTTGACGAAGGGTGACCAGACTTTCACACAATGACCAAGATTAGAACCCACAATGTGCTTTGTAATGGGAGAGACTCATCCTTCAAGAGACAAGAAACAACTTCAGAATGACTTGTCCTCTGACATTGTAAGAATTTTAGATTCTGGAAATTGGACAAGTCTTTGACTAGAACATACTGCTCCCAAGGAACACAGTCTCAGAAAACTCACCCAACTTACAATCCAGATCGTCCAAATCAAGCACTTACCCATTGGAATAATACATGAAAGCAAAATTCCACCGAACACCAGTGCCAAGATCTTTGCATTCACTCCCTCTTCATCATCTTCATCTGGAATTCAAAATAACAGAAGCATCATTATTTCTAATATCAAAAACTGACTGACAATATATCTGACCTGACAGATACGTGGTAAATTGGTGGAGATCGACCATAAACGTGCTATATAGGAACAACTCAAACACTCACCACTTGTTTGGGGATCTTGTGAAACATCCCGAAGATCGGATATGCAAACACACCAACCTGTAGTATAATAAATAGATTATTAAGAGTGAATTCTTTCATTCAATTGACATGAAATGGAGATTTACGTCCCTGTTTTTCAATTGGGCAACATCAGCAGTGTGAAAACTCAAAGTATAAATTGGAGAGAATTGCATGGCTGCTGTTTTTATATGTATCAGGCACACTGATGGCATCGATTTGCATCATTCCAATTTTCAGTCTGACTTGCGTGGTTCCTGCAATTCAACTAAATCCCAAAGATATCATTTGCAGCTTTTGCGATAGTGCCTCTAAAAGTCGGTCCCGTGTCTGTTTTAAACCTATATCTACTTGTCTAACTGAAAGACAAAGTACATTGAAGTTACCCAGAAAGTCAAATTATCAAATGATCCTTACCGTATCCCTCCACAAATCGGTATTCGAGGGCTTCTTTCGGTATAGCAACCGAAACGAAGCCGCCCTCGTCCGTTTTGTCGCTTACAACTCGAAAGTTGTAAGCGTTCTCATTGGGTAAATCTAAAATTAAACAAATTAGGGCTGTGTTTATTGTTTTTGCATCTTCATTTGCATCAAAAGAGTCTTGGAAGGCTGGCGTCACCACTAGAAATACCACGACTCTTTCTTGTTCCAAAATTATATATTCTTGTTTGCCACCCCGGCCAATCTCTTCAAACAAGAAATGAATTGATCCTTACCCATCTCCACAATATCAAGCTCTTACGACTTTTCGTCTTATACCTTGACTGCAATAGCCACTATTCCTGTATCACGAAATGTAGCGATTTGACTGGATCGTACATCAACGAATACAGCCAATCAGGACCCTCGACAGAAAGTACGTAAACATTATGGACTTTTGTTCACAAGCTTTCAGTCGATATCTATGATTGGCTGTATCCGCTAGCTTACAATCCAATCAAATTCCAATCCGATAAAGGAAGGTGGCTATTACAGTCAAGGTATAAGTACGAAGTTTCGTAATAGTATTACTAATACATGTAGCTTGAAATTGTGAAGATGATCCTTATCCAATTTCCACTTCCTTCTTCTGGTGGCATCTGAAATATGAAAATGGAATGTCTGTTATATTTCTTCTTACAGCTGGTCAAGATCACCAGACGACTCCTCTTCCAATTTCTCAATGAAGTATCTGTTTCATTCAAACATTATGGCTTATTGTTTACAGACTTTCTGCCAAGAACTCTGATTGACTGTATTCGCTTTTGTACAATCCAATCAAATCGCTCCCTTTACAAACTTTCCTGATGCAAGAATAGTAGTGGTTATTACAGTAAAGTTGACGAAGTTAGGCACTTACCTTGACCTTGACCTTGACTTGGACCTTGATCTTGATCTTGATCTTGACCTGGACCTTGACCTTGACTTGGGTTGGACCTTGTCTGGAGTTGGGTCTGGACCTTGACCTGGACTTGGGTCTGGATTTAGGTCTGGACCTGGACTTGGGTCTGGACCTTGACCTAGACTTGGGTCTGGACTTAGGTCTGGACCTGGACTTAGGTTTGGACCTGGAGATAAAATAGTTTTTGATCAATGTCATTTGCCTTACGAGTGAGTGAAAGACAATCCCATCCAATAGTTCTGTCAAATGGGACTGAAGCAGTAGGCCTTCTTTGGTAAAAGTCACACATGGACTTCAATGTCTCAACAAAATGAATGGAGGTCCTTGAACTTTAGTGGGTTGAGCCTCCTCCCTCGGGTAGTTCAAAAGATGATAAAGTTAATTGCTCTAAGCTGTTTAAGATTGCTTGGCAAAGAAACCCGTTATATAACCAGTCTTTCAAGTTGGGGAAAGTTGATAAACTCAATGGCAGAATGCCATCAGCCTTTCTAAAGTTAGAGAAAAGGTATCCCAAGTGACATGGTAAGTAGGCTAAGCACCCTGATTTCTTGAAAAAACCAATAACAGACTATATGACAAGCTTCAGTTAATTCAGATAGCAATTGATGGGAGCTAACTCTTATTAGATAGATTTTCAGACCACAAAAAACTCTTCTTGAACCTCTATAACAGAGTTTGGTTTCAATGATGTTATTTTTGGTTCACAGCTTTGCCCCTTTGCTCAAAACTCTACCTTAAGTAAGGTTCTTCAAGCTCTAGCCTACGTAGGCCTATGTCTAGGCTAAGGCTAGGCTATAAGTTGGGTTAAGCCTCGCTAATAGGCCTATTATTTATAAATTCACAAAGTAAAAAAAAAAAACGAAGTAGGCTAGGCTTAAATTTCCTACTTTTTTCAATCTTTTTCTTTTGTAGTAAGTTCTAGCCTTATTTCCTAAAGCGTTTAAATATTTTAAAATAAAGCCTTATTTAGTCGTTATTGAAATAAGCCTAGCTTATCTTACCAATCTCAATGATAATTTACCTCAAATTTTAAATCAAGTTTTTTTTAATTTAGATGTCCAAAACTTAATTAAAAACTTGTTCAATTTGTGCTATGTATATAAATAAAGATTTTTAAAAATAAAATTTCAATATTTACAAGTTTTTTCCATATTTTCGGGTTCACTTAAATCGTGTTCCGTAGCGTCGCTCATCTTCTTAGCCTTGAGGATAATTGACGTCGAATTACGTCTTAAGCCTTCCGCTCGTTGCATAGCAGTAAATTATCACTACGCCTCTTACGAACGACATTTTAATTTCTATTTTGGAACTTTTTAGTCAAAGTGGCAGTAACAAATCAAGATAAGCGCCTGAAGTGCTTTGGTTTCGCTTAATTTTGTGTATTAAGCGTCTAGTTCTGTTTTTGCCCTGGGACTATTTTGCCTACTTGTTGCCAAAGACGAAGTAGTCCGTCAGAAAGACGAAATAGGCTCCTTTCTTTGAGTTTTATGCCTACTTTTTAAAACTTTTCATTAAAGAATTATTGGTCCTAAACTCAACATTCTTATTGGAATTTTTACCCTGAAATCATGACCTATGGGATGCAACCCCTACTAGGCCTATTAAAGAATGTTAAGCCTACCCTACTTAGCCTATAATTTGTGGAGAGAGAGTCTCACTCATACAGAAAACAGACTTCAGTTTCGTTTGGTTGATCTAGGATATCTATAAATCCCTGTCCGGCCCCAGCCTAGTCTTTACTATGGTCTGGATTCGATAAAAAGAAGTCAAAATATAACCAATAATAATGCAACAAACGTCTAAACTAAGCTAAGTCTAGGAGACTTACTCAAGCAAACTTCCCCAGAAAAATACGATACTTGTGATAGCTCAAGATTATTCAAGTTTATTCAACCAAATAGTAATTAATGGGAGCTAATTACTATCAATTTACAAACCACAAAAACTCTTATTATTGATAATTAAGAGTTAACTGTGGTCTTTAGTCTGTCTTAAGGTTGTCTCTCTTTGACCCTTTTTCACCAGAAAGTAGCGAAATTTTCCTGTCGTCTGTTTTCATTGAAATTACGCTCTGGATAATCTCAGCTAAGTTGAAGGCCGTTTGGTTGAAATGGCGGAGGTTCAATTTTCTTGAAATTTTCAAGCCATTTACAGTCTATAAGTAGTCCTCTAACTTCCACGCACAGATGGAGAAAAAAGGGTGAGTTTTAGATGACGAGTGGCATTATGCGAGCTGGCACTGTTAGATTAGAAATTAATGCATGAAAAACAACTTTAAATGCTGAAATTCATGCCGATGGGACCAAGTCCAAGGTTTTTGGTACCGGTATTGTGTTTTGGAGACTGTTATTACTAATTTAATTGCCAAACCAACTAGTCTCTTCAGACTGATGCTCAATGAAGACAAGAGAGTGGGCCAAATCATTTCTATCTGCAGCCCCGTCGCCAGGAATAAATTGATGCTGGGGCTCAGATTTTGTACTTAGAAAATTTGAAGAAATTAATAATACCAAGAGTGAGAGAACTCATTTCTGAGAATTTTGAGCTGCCAAAAACATATCAAAATCTATATCTTTTTGATTTTGTACAAAAACACTGTAAATGAATCAATTTCTGCTGAACTGAAGAAGGTTTAGCTGGGTCTTAATTCACTTGCTGGGCCCCAGCCCCCACTGACCCCACCCTAATGACAGGGCTGTCTATTTGTCAAAACTTTTCTTGCCAATGAGAACCCTCTCAGATGCTCCATAGGAGACTTTCGCCTATCCACAGATCTGTCTCATTTCAAATTCAACCTCGAAAGTTATCCCCCATTTTGTCTGCCTGCTATCAGTAAGATATAAAACTGATTTAATTTGATTAAAAAACTTTTTTCATTCCAGGCAAATCAATTCAAGTTGAAATGAAGTGTTTGAAAATAAAATTCAAAATGGTGGAAGGTTGTTAGTTGAAAGGAGAGAATATTGGAGTTTGATTAAGAAATAAAATATTGTCTAAAATCATCGTTAGATCGCCTATACAGGTAAATATTTACATTAACCCTTTAATCACTACTGGCCACATAATTACATGATATATCCTTGTTAATATAAACATCATATACTTCAATTAAAATAAAATTAGTTTTACGTCCTACTTTTCTACAACTGATGAACTAATGAAATGGACAATACTACGCAGTGTACAATGAGGAATATTTTGCCAGAACAGAGGCATAAGTCTACTCTTTTTCGATTTCCAACTCTAAAGGGATCTTTAACGTGCACAGGATGTAGCACACAGGACCTCGGTTTATCTGGACTTATTTTGCTCAAATATGGACTCAACCAAATACTTTTTTATACCCCCCACAGCTATACAAAATTCAAAGGTGCCTGCACACAAATATTTTGTACAAAATGTGCCTGCAATAACGAGGTCAGAGAGAGCAAATACGATTTTTGAAACAGATAGGCATGTTAAGTACTTAAAGGTCATTATTAATTTTTCTTAACAGTAATAATTTTATCAGGAAATTTAAGCTAATTTAGCTAATAATTTTGATAAGTTTTGTTCTCAAATGTCCTGATTTTCTTTGTGTATTTGTTTTAATTTTATTCATGTTATGATCAATAGCTAATTTAAATTCCCAGTAAACAAAGACTCTACTGATATTTTGACGAGATTTTCCTAAGTCAAGGGCAATAACTCAAAAACCGTTCATCAAAAGATCCTCAAATTCAAACTTGTCTAAGATATTATCAATATAAATGATCACACCACATTTCATAAAAATCAGTGAAAATTGTAGTCTCTAT